TTCCATAAGCTCTGAGGTTTAGTGATGAAACCAGAATTTTGCTTATAGCAAAATCTTCTCGAACCAAAGCTAGGCAAGGAAAGGCAAGGCTAATGGATTTATATAGTACATTTAAAATCATATTTGTATTTTTTTAACGCCTTTTTCCCTCTTTATTTTCTTACCATCAACCTCTAAAACCATATTTTTTATTTTTAACACATTTTTTCTCTTCCTTTTCTTACGATCAACCTGGGTCTGCATATGAAAATCAGTCTGTATGTCTAAATCTTGCGCATTTACATGATGAACAACACAAGTACTTATGTCACTTCATGTGCACGGTCCCTTTTAAAATAAAATAAACATTAAAAAGGCTAAAATTAAAATCATAACCGATGCATAAGACAAAATTAACAATAAATAAAATTCAAACAAATAAATAAAAGTAACGATAAAAAACAAAGAAGAATAAGAAAAGCTGCTGACAAATATGTTTTTGTCATGATGGAAAAACCTAGGTGAGCTTGTTAAAAACTCTTCTTTTAGTTGCAATGATTTGGAGAAACTAGAGCGTTCCAATAATATAATAATTGAGGGTGCTTGTTATGATCTGTATGTTTTTTTTTATGCCTTACTGTTTGTAACTCACCAATTTATTTCCTATTGGTGCCCACACTAAGAACTGTGTTACAGGTGGAATCTGAACCTTGGAGAGAAATTCCCTGAATCCAACAGAAAACAAGACATTAAAGTATGAATAACATCATCAATTGTTGGAATTAGTATAGTTAAACTATAATAATTACTCATGTAAAGTCTACAATGAAACAAAAAAAATGTCTTAGATTACATTTTCCCCTAAACTCAATCACACTGAACACTCTCAGAAACAAACAAACAAAAAAAGTACAAAAGGTTGTTACTGGGGTGCTGGGGCCCTTTCAAAATGTACTAATATGTACCATTTAGGTACTAATACATACGCTTTAGGTATTATGTATCTTTAAGGTACTAATATGCACCATTTAGGGGTAAACAAGTGTACCTTTTAAAAATGTACTGCACCAGGGATAACGTTTGTACCTTTTTTTTCTGAGAGTGAACAATATCTATGTGAGTGAGTTTGAAATACACTGAAACATTTTCAGGACTTTCCCAGGTCTGGAAATCACAATTTCAGAATGATATAAGTTTTCCATGAACATGGGAACTGTATATATTTTGATAGACCCATCATAGGAACATCTTTACTCACTGAGACTCCATGTTGTAAATATGGTAGGATGCAGTGAAGGAGTGTCGCCATAGCTGTTGATGCATTTCAAGCACGTGTTAGAAACATCAGCATGAGTCACTTATGCACCGTATATGTGTGTTTAATTATGAAGTGTTTTTAGTTTTATTGCAGTCAAGTTACCTTTGAGTAATTGCTCTCAAAGACGACAAACTTTCTGTCTGCTGACAATATGTAATCTGTGGCATCCACTTGGGCCTGTAAACCAATTCACAGTAAATAAGTGGAATTTACATGCATGTTAAACATGAATAAAAGATGTAAGAAAAGAGATAATGAAATATATGAGACTATTTAATGAGAAATGTCTGGAGAGGCATTCAAACCCTCATATGAGGCAACCTACAAATGTTGAGTTGCTCAGGTACATTGAGCTTTCCTTCGTTTCAGCATTGTGCACGTAAATATGGCCTTCGCTGGTTTTGTGGAGGTATTCATTGTCTGGAGGAAAATAAGACAGCAGAGTATATGTGTCAGGGTGATTTAGAGGTCATCAGGAAAAACAAACAGGGACCATGTGAAGCGCTTCAGGTGTCCTACCTGACATCCAGTGGAGACTGTATGTTTTATACCTGATGGTATCATTGTAAAAATCATAAAAAGAATAAGTTCTCTTTAATGCAGACTCATCTCCTGAAAACACAGTGAAGGAAAACAGTTTTAGTCTTCAGCAGTTCAGACAAAAATATTTAATATATTATAGATTAAATATATATAAAAAAAATTTTTTTGTATTTTTTTATTTTTCTATATAGCCTACATATAACAAAATTGTAAAATATATTGCAGTTAATATGAAATTCCCACAAGAACAACAGTTTATTTGATGTTCACATGGAGGCGCTAGTGGGTTAACTCACTTTTTTTTTTTTGAATATTTTATCACAATATATGCTATTAATACGGATATATACAGTATATATAAGCAGTGTTGGGGGTAACGCATTACAAGTAACGTGAGTTACGTAATCAGATTACTTTTTTCAAGTAACTAGTAAAGTAACGCATTACTTTTTAATTTACAAGATAATTACTTTTTAATTTACTTTTTCAAATAAGTAACGCAAGTTACTTTTTTACCCCAATTTATTGATTGACAGCTCTCCTGTCCCCCTCTTCCCTGATCGTCAATCTCTCTCTCTTTTTTTTTTTTTATGAATGCATGATTCATAATCAAAGACTGTTCATGTGAGAAAGAGAAAACAGATGACACATAAAGGGTCATTTTAATTGTTTACTTCAAATAGCATGCTGGACGATATCCTCTAGAGTAAATCTACATGTACAGAAACACTCACAAAATCAGTATTTGCGATTGGACAGCTTCACTGCTTGCACACACATTAAATGTTACAGAGCAAAACAAAGTCCTTACTATAAAATAAATCAAAATGACTTAATTCAGTGCAGTTTTAGTGAATGTCGTTTGCTAATGAGTGGTGCTGATGCAAACACTTGTTTGGGCTTTATTACAACGACTTCTATGGAAGTCCATTTCTGCTAAGGGATAAAAAAAGGTAATTGCCACATTTTATCTCACAATCTGGAGGAATATCAGAATTGCAAGATATAAAGTCAGAGTTGTAAGATGTTGACACACAATTGCAAGATATAATATGTAATTCTGAGAAGAAAAGTCAAAATTGTGAGATATAAACTTGAGATTGCAAGGAAAAAGGTCCGAATTGTGAGATAAAAAGTCACAATTAAATTTATTTTTTAAGCCATGGCAGAAAAAAAAAAAGAATTGCGAGATGTAAACTTAGAATTGTGAGATAAAAAGTGCATTAGAATCAGAATTTCAAAAGTGCCACTTGAGATGAAATAAATGATGGAAATGAAAGCTTCCATTGACCCTCATCATGTTGAGAAGTGCCAGTGCTTGCAGCAGAACAGACTTGGTAGATGCATCATTTTACAGGTTATGACATCTGATTGATTGTATCAGAGATGAGATTGAATATCTTCTGGTCTTTATTTTCAGTCAGTTTCCATGTCTTCTTCCCCGGAGTCCTCTACGAGGAGATCGGCGTGTTGAGTGTAATCAAACGCGGGGAACTTTATGGGCAACTCGCTCCATTTGCTGAATGTCTTCTTCTTGGAGCTGTATGTGACCACAAAGTTCTTGATATGGAGGCAGGGACACTCAATGCTTTTATACAGCATCATCGAGCCCCATTGCTGCTCAGGAACGAGACAAAAAAGTATGATTTAAAATGAATGCATATTAAAGAAAATACATACTGTATGATGTATAGAGGGCTGGGTGCTATCTAAAGTATTTTACTATTCATTTGCAATTATTCTGTTGCCAGTATAAAATTGCACAGCATCAGACCCTCATCATGTTGAGAAGTGCCAGTGCTTGCAGCAGAACAGACTTGGTAGATGCATCATTTTACAGGTTATGACATCTGATTGATTGTATCAGAGATGAGATTGAATATCTTCTGGTCTTTATTTTCAGTCAGTTTCCATGTCTTCTTCCCCGGAGTCCTCTACGAGGAGATCGGCGTGTTGAGTGTAATCAAACGCGGGGAACTTTATGGGCAACTCGCTCCATTTGCTGAATGTCTTCTTCTTGGAGCTGTATGTGACCACAAAGTTCTTGATATGGAGGCAGGGACACTCAATGCTTTTATACAGCATCATCGAGCCCCATTGCTGCTCAGGAACGAGACAAAAAAGTACGATTTAAAATGAATGCATATTAAAGAAAATACATACTGTATGATGTATAAAGGGCTGGGTGCTATCTAAAGTATTTTACTATTCATTTGCAATTATTCTGTTGCCAGTATAAAATTGCACAGCATCATGAAACGTTACTGTGAAACTTTATTTAACAAAATTTCACTTCTTGTATCAAGAAACTTGAATCTACTGGGCTACTTTGAAAACCATCCGAGTTTTTGACATTTCAAATCAAATACATAAATATAAAAAGATATATTGTATATCATTAAATTTATTAATGCATACATCATTTTAATCATATATTTATAAATATATTGCCTAGCCTTATATTAAGCTTTTTTTATTGCATTGTTTTTTGTAAACATTTTTGTAGATCATTCACCCAAAAATGAAATTTGGTGAAGATTTACTCTCAGACCATCCAAGTTGTAGATGAGTTTGTTTCTTCATGGGAACAGATTTGGAGAAAAGTAGCATTGCATCACTTGCTCAGCATAAAAAGATATATTGTATATCATTAAATTTATTAATGCATACATCATTTTAATCATATATTTATAAATATATTGCCTAGCCTTATATTAAGCTTTTTTTATTGCATTGTTTTTTGTAAACATTTTTGTAGATCATTCACCCAAAAATGAAATTTGCTGAAGATTTACTCACCCTCAGACCATCCAAGTTGTAGATGAGTTTTTTTCTCTATGGGAACAGATTTGGAGAAAAGTAGCATTGCATCACTTGCTCAGCAATGGATGCTCTGCAGTGAATGGGTGCCATCAGAATGAGAGTCCAAACAGCTGATAAAAACATCACAATAATCCACAAGTAATCCACACCACTCCAGTCCATCAGTTAATGTTGTGTGAAGTGGAAAGCTGTGTGTTTGTAAGAAACAAATCCATCATTAAGATGTTTTAGACAAGACAATTGTTTCACTGGAGAAAGCAATATTATGGATACAGGACTCATATTTTAGCTGAAAGCAATGCTTTGAAGTTAAAAATGCATTAATGATGGATTTGTTTCTTGCAAAGCTTTTTGATTCTCAAGACATTAACTGATGGACTGGAGTGGTGTGGATTACTTGTGGATTATTGTGATGTTTTTTATCAGCTGTTTGGACTCTCATTCTGACGGCACCCATTCACTGCAGAGGATCCATTGGTGAGCAAGTGATGCAATGCTACATTTCTCCAAATCTGTTCAGATGAATATACCAACTCATCTACATCTTTGAATGACCTCGGGTGTAAATTTTCAGTTTTGGGTGAACTATTCCTTTAAGCTAAGGAAGTTTTTTTGCATTATCGTGGTTATATGAAGTTCACAGTTGTGTAATGTTTTTGAGAGCGAGTCGAACTGAATTCCAAAACCAAACCACTGTTATGCTCAGCAGTAATGCAAAGAGTGTTTATTGGAAGGGAAGAGCTGAAGTCAGCACGCACCTGTCCGCAGTTTTTGCACGCAATGACTCCATTGGTCTCATAGTCCAGGAGTCGCTCCTGTAGTGATGCATTCTCTCGGACTGTAAACAGCTTACTGCAGACATCAGCAACATTTATTTTTACTGATTTATTACTGTCTTCACCACCGCCATCATCATGCAGAATAAACATGATTTGTATCATCAGTGTACATATTTCTGGATTTTCTGAAGAAAAAAAGTATTTGTGACTGTGGGTTTTTACCTAAATTGCTTTGTGACGTTGACATGGTGCATGTTCTCTATCTTCTCAATGTCTTCTCCAGAGCACACGGACACACTGCACTGCCTGCAGCTCAGGCTGATTTTAGACGGCGGTTCTTTCATCATTCCCTTCCTCTGTTTCTTCTTTATCTTCACCTTCTCCTCCATTATGGCCTGCATCTGAAACTCTCTGGTCTACACAAAACCAAATAATGTTACTTTTAAGAGTATATGAGGTATATTGGAGTGTATTTATTGAAGTAGATTCTCACTTTCTTCTCGTAGTCTGCTCGATTCATCTTGCACACTTTGGCGATGGCTGTGCTCATCATTTTCTCTCTGTATTCGTTAACACTCTCTCTCTCTGCCACCCCAGATCCTGCCTCCGCCACCAGCGTGTAACTACTGTCCTCTGCTCTTCCTCGACCACGGGCCTGCAGAGAGAGAAAAACGGTACTTCTTGCATCTTCATTCAGAAACGTCAGCATGAGAATACAACCTCAAAAACCAGAATGACTTCAGGTAGTTCAGTAAGACTCTGATCGCTTTATTTGTCATGTAAGTAGTGATAGACTGATATATTAGACACCAGGCTGAATCTCCCAATATTTGGCCATTTAAAATAGTTCAAAAGTTTGGGGTCAGTAAGAATATTTTCTTTTTAAAGAAATTAATACTTTTAATCAGCAAGGATGCATTAAATTTATCAAAAGTGACAATACAGACATTTATAATGTTACACATTTCAAATAAATGCTGTTCTTTTGAAACCGTTTTCATCAAGAATGTATCAGGGTTTCCACAAAAATATTTTCAACATTGATATTAATAATTAATGTTTCAGTGAGCAGCAAATCAGCATATTACTATGATTTCTGAAGAATCATGTGACACTGAAGACTGGACACCAGGCTGAATCTCCCAATATTTGGCCATTTAAAATAGTTCAAAAGTTTGGGGTCAGTAAGAATATTTTCTTTTTAAAGAAATTAATACTTTTAATCAGCAAGGATGCATTAAATTGATCAAAAGTGACAATACAGACATTTATAATGTTACACATTTCAAATAAATGCTGTTCTTTTGAAACTGTTTTCATCAAGAATGTATCAGGGTTTCCACAAAAATATCTGTTTTCAACATTGATATTAATAATTAATGTTTCAGTGAGCAGCAAATCAGCATATTACTATGATTTCTGAAGAATCATGTGACACTGAAGACTGGAGAAATGATGCTGAAAATTCAGCTTTGCTTCACAGGAATAAATTATATTTTCAAATATATTGACATAGAAAATGGCTGTTTTAAAATGAAATAATATTTCACAATATTTCTGTTTTTACTGTATTTTTGAGCAAATAAATGCAGCCTCGGTGAGCATAAGAGACTACTTTCAAACCTCCCAAACTTTTGTATTTTTTGTGAATTTGGAGTAAATGTTGGTTAAATAATGTATGAGCATCATTAAACTAAATTATTAAATTAAATGTATGATTTGCTCTAATTAAATTGGATTATACCTGTATACTGTATATAAGAGCAATATATTGCCACACTGTATTTGCGTTGGCCATTAAAAACATTTCCTTTGATTATGGCTGTTTAAATTTGGTATCAGAAGTTGGTTATGAAAATGATGAACCCAGACTTTAGCTGTAGACTGCTTAAACTGAATGTTGAAAACTTTTAGTTTGGTTCCTGTAACACATACATTTAAGTGCTGCAGATGTGAGATGTATGAAACCGGCCTCAGAGCCATATGGTGTCTATCTAAAGTAAATATTGATTGAAACAAATAGCACAAACTACAAGCCCTTAGAAACAGGCCAAAAGAGTGTAGCATCATGATGAGCATCTTCAAAAGTTCACCTGAATCATGGCGATCTCATTGGTCACAAGGCAATAGCGTATGACGAAATTACATTCGGCGATGTCCAAACCCTCTTCTGCTACAGTGGTGGCTATTAGCAGATTGATCTGCCCGTCACGAAACTTGTTCAGCACGTCCTTCTGCTCTGCCTGAAGATGGCAGGACATCATTTTATTGAAATTTGATATTATTCCACAAATGGAACCTGGAACAATTATTTTAAATGAATGCAGAACCAGACACATTAGTTCCTGAGTTTGAGAGGGACTTACAGCAGTCATCGGTTTCACCACACTCTGATCTCCTCCACCAATCAGATAGCTGGCTCTGACTCCCACTTCATCAAACTTGGGGTTTTCTTGAATCCACTGGCAGAGAGCAATGGCGCTGAGGCGGGTCTGGGGGAATATGATGCCTCTCGCCATCTCTCTGGTGCTGAATTCCTTCAGGATGTTGGTTTTCAGCTGGGCCAGACTGTTGTTTTCATACTGCGGCTTTCCCATCAACTCCTGCAGCTTTGCTTTATTGTCTGTTGAATATTAAGACAAACAGATACAAAGAGTAAATCAGCATTACCCAACAAGATGTTTAGCATGTCTGGACACATTTTAAAGGAATAAACAACAGTATTGTTTTGGTAATATTTAATTAATATTTTGAAATGGCTTTTCACTTATTTTCAGTTTAATAATTTCAGTTTTCATTTTTTTTATGTGCTTTTGTCATTTTATTTAGCTTTATTTTAGTTTATTTCAGTTTTCGTTTGTTATTTTATTATTTCAGCTTAAACATATTTTATTTCAGTTAGTTGTCATAGCAACATTTCTCATTTTTGTTTGAGCTTTTTAAACTGATGTTTTTCATTGAATATTTATTCAGCTTTATTTCAATTACTGAAAAATGTTTTCATAGTTTCAGTTTTAGTTAACAACAGCATTATCATTAACTAAAAAACTAAAACCATTAGAATTTTTTTAAATTACGCTCAATAAAATGAACATTAAATTAAATAATATATATATATATAAAACGTTTTAAAAATTCAGCTAGTTTCTCAGTTTCTCAGTTTAGTTTAGTTTAGTTTGAAGTACTAAAATAGCTAGAACTAAATAAACTAAAAACTAAAACATATGAAAAACTATAGATATATTTAAAAAAAAAGCAAAAATTATTAAAAATTACAAAAACACAGCAAAATTTTAAACTAAAATGAAAATGAAAACAATATATAAAAATTAAATCGAATTAAAATTAGCAAAAACTATAGTAGTATATTAGTGATACTAAAATAACACTGGTTAACAATAACAACAGATCCAAACATAAAAATGTTGTCATAATTTGCTCACTCTCATGCTTATTTTCTTTCTTACAGTATAAGGCATCATCCACTTTCAGCGAAAGTGCTCATTAAGAATTAAGCATTAATGGATCCCATTAAAAGACTAGTTTCAGTGTATTAAAAGATAGCATTGACTCTAGTTTGTGTGTCCATTTTTGATACCTTTGAACAAAGTGAAGAGGAATCGCTCAGTGTCTGTGATTGTAATGGTGCCTTCCTCATCGGGGCTGGATTTGGTCTTGAGCTCTTCGTTGTGATATTTGTCGAGGAAGCGGAAGGCATCTGACATGCGTATGGTGTTGCTCTGATGAAGAGCCTCGTTGTATTGACGGAGATGTTCAGCGCACACGCGCACCATCTGATTCTCTTCCTTAGCAGCTGGTGAACAACACAGACAGGCAATATTTATAAAAGAGTTCAACAATATAACTCCTGTTACGCCCCAAGATCAGCCCATTAAGGTAATTCATTTCATAGTCCACTCACTGGACTATCCATCCATCATGTTTTTTTCTGAATTTGGAAGTAAAAATCGAATTGTTTTTCACCACAGAGAAAAAATAGCAGTAATTCATACTTCAAACAGGCTTACCATGAATTCTGATATGCAATTTCAACGTCATTTTTAAGCAATCATATTTAAGTTACGTCATTTACAATGAATCTCCCACGAGAGACTGGTGCCGTTTTTCCTGGAAGTTCACGATGAACTCACCAAGACGTGGCGTGGCCCTACTCACTCCAGTTTGCTCGCAGGCCACCTCGCTTCAGAGGCATTATTCAAACTTCAGTACAGGACAGCAATGCTCACATTCTCTGGTCTGAAGTGCAAACTCTGCTTCCAAAATGAGCTGTGGAAATGGTTCCTCTAGCGAACATCGATTCATGCTTTTACAGCTGCTACTTCCTCATTCCCCGAAATGGCGGGCTCAGGCATCTGAACCATGGGCTTATGAATCCGTTCAAGATGCTGACTTGGAAGCAGATCCTCGTGCAATATGCCCCGGGGACTGTTTTTGATTAATCGGTGGATCTGAAAGACGCACAAACCGCTTTTGAGATTCGCATTCGAGGGGGTGGCTTACCAATATACACTACTACCATTCGAACTGTCTCTGGCCCTTGCACTTTACAAAGTGCACGGATGCAGCTCTTTCCGCTCTGAGACAGATGGGAATACGCATTATGAATTACCTAGACGATTGGCTGGTCTTAGCCAGATCGGAACAAGAACTCATCGCTCACAGGTCGCTGCTGCTCAGCCACCTGGAGCGGTTTGGGCTAATAAGTAATTTAGCCAAGAGCTCTCTGTCTCCCAGTGAGTAGTCTTCTCGGGGACAGTTATCGATTCTGCCCAGATGTGGGCATGGGTTACGCTGGAATGCTCCCTGATAATTCAGCGGCATCATTCAGACTTGGGACTTCACGTCCCCTCAGGGCTTTCAGAGGATGCTCGGCCTCATGTCAGCCGCTTCCTCTGTGATTCCTCTGGGCCTGCTTCACATGTGGCCCCTCCACAGTATTGGTTCAAAACCCATGTCCCATCCCACGCTTGGTGCCTGGAATCAAGGGTCAGACATGCTGGATATGGACAATGTGGCTCTAGGAGAATGGAGACTACATCCCCAAACGGTTCAAATTATCTGGTCTGTCTTAGGCAGGGCAGAGGTGGACCTCTTCACCTCAGAAGATAACTTTTACTGCCCAGTTTTGTTTTCGAAACAGCAAGATGCCCTGGCCCACAATTGGCCCAGAGCTTGCCTGTATGCCTCCCCCCCTGGTTGCCCTGCTTCCTCAGGTCATCAGAAGGGTCAGTGAAGTCAGATGCTCAGCCCTCCTGGTGGCCCCACTCTGGAGGAATCAGATGTGGTTTCCCAAGTTGATTCAGCTGCTATCGGCAGCCCCTTGGCCGCTACCACTGAGGAAGGATCTGCTCTCGCAAGTGAAGGGCATGATTTGGCATCCCTGGCCAGAGATGTGGAGCCTTCATGTTTGGCCCCTCGACAGGAGTCTTTGCAGCTCCCTGCAAGTGTTACTAATACCATTTTGGAGGCTAGAGCTCCGTCTTCAAGACGTCTTTATGCCCTTAAATGGTCAGCTTTCTCTGATTGGTGTGCAGCACAGAATGAGAACCCATGCTCTTGTGACGTGCCCTACGTGCCAACCTTTCTACAAAAGCTGATGGATAAGGGGCGCACCCCCTCCACGTTTAAAGTATAGGTGGCAGCCATCACGGCGAATCATTATTCTTTTAGTCATTACGTTTCTGAGGGGAGCTCAGAGATCGAATCTGCCTCGCTCATAATGTGCCGACTTGGAACTTATCTGTAGTCCACAGGGCCCTTCGAGCCGCTCCAGTCAGCTGACTTGTGGCCTCTGCCACTTAAGACTGTCCTCCTTTTTTAGTCAAGCGAGTGGGTGTCCTGCAAGCACTGTCGGTCAGTGCTTCATGTCTGAGTTTGGGCCTAACAACTGTAGAGTCATCCTCAAACCAAGACACGGCTATGTGCTTAAAGTGTTCTCCACTCTGTTCAGAGCACAATTCATCACCTTTTTAGCTCTTCCCAATTCAGAGGATGAGCAGGGTCCTAATCCACTCTGCCCGGTTCGGGCCCTTAGAGTGTGTGTTCATTTTATTGGTGATATCTGTGCGGCCACTGGCTGGTCGTCATCATCTACCTTCACCAGGTTTTATAACTTGGATGTCCCTACCCTGCAGGCACAGATTTTGTCCTCCTAAGTTAGATTTTGTTATGTAGTCCTCAGCCTAGGTGGCTTGGGTCTCATTGTTAGCTCAGACTTATAGGAGCCCTCAGTACGTGCGCTTCAGAGCTGGGCTCACCAAGTGGCTTCGTTCTGCACTTGCTTATAGCACAGCGCGATTGGATGCGTTCCCCATAAGCTTCAAGCAATGGAACGTGAGGGACCTTTCAAAGGGAACGCTCTGGTTACTAACGTAACCTCGGTTCCCTGAGATAAGGATGCGAGTGTTGCGTATGCTTCCGTGCTATAAGGCTGTACACGAATTGATGACTGTCGTTTCAGTCGAAAGATTCTGATGAAATGGCACTCGGAGCCGACTTATATAGCGGCCGCCCCCCGTGGGTGTTGAAGCGCCATTTGTTAGTGCAGTTACACAAATGTGAACAAATCAGGCTAAACAGGAGTTTCCTCATTAGTGACAAGTGATGCAACGCTCCTTCCCTTATATTAGGAAACTGAGGTTACGTTATAACCAGAGAGTTATTATCATTAACTCAATATACAACTCAAACCATAAAAGATATTATTTGAAATAAAATAAACTTTAACTGAAATAAAAATTTTATATAAAAAAAAACTTAAACTTATTTTATTTCAGCTAGTTGCCAAGGCAATATTTTTAATTTTAAAAACTTAATTTGAAGTACAAAAAAACCCTAAAACCTAATAAAAATGTAAAAAAAAAAAAAAAGTATATATATATAAAAAACTAAAAAAAGACAAAACAACAAAATTCCTAAAACTTGAACTAAAGTTAAAATAAAAACATAAAATATAAAAATTAAATCTTATTCAAAATATTAACAAAAACGACAATAGTAAATCAGTGATACTAAAAAAAACTAACAAAAAAAAAAAACCTAACCAAATTTGAATAGTTTTTGAGCTCTATACTAGAATACTAGTCAGTCATAACTAGTCTTTGAGGATGTTTTTTCTCCTCTATCATTTTGTATAACTACTGGATCTTTTCAGTGATTCTGAATGTCTGAACACAATTGAGAAACTTTGTTGGAATTCACAGTGAATTGTCCTTTAAAAACAGGAAAGAGACTGTGGCTTACTGTGATTACTGTGGCTTATTGTGACACATTTCGCATGAGTGCATGACTGTATATGAAATTCTTATCATGACTTCAGCAATATGGTGGTTAAATCATGGTTTCAGCAAAGAAGGCTGGAGGCAGAGGACACACAAAGAGAAACCACATTTTAGTAGGAGCTTTACAAAGTTCCAGTGGTTACTGGATTTTTGGAAATACTATATTTATAGAGTTAAACTTACAAATAAGTGTGTAAGACGAGATCAAAATAAGTGTGCAAGATAAAAATGTTCAGATTTAAATTTCTTCTCAAATACTTTCGAGTGGTTTGGCTCCCCATTAGCTGTTAGACATTGTTTCTACAAAACTATCTGGCCACAAAAAGACTTTCTGTTTTTACAGCTGTTGTAAAGTATCAACATTTTTTTATTTTTTTTTTAAAGCAGCATATATATTGCAGATACTTATTTATATATTTAGTAGGAGACCAGTGAGAGATTTACACTTAAAACTGTGCAATGGTTTTATATTTTCTCTGTCGGCTGTGTTTGACATCACCGCTCATAAATGAAGCTTTTAGACTGTGAGTTTTTGTGGTGCCACCAGGAATTTGTATTTATGGAAATTTATATGATGCCTTTAAAATGTCAATTTTCATGACTTTTTCCTGAAGTTTCCCGGTTTCCAATGACCCAGTAAACCTCCATATATCTGAATGTCTTTGTAAAAGGCAGTAAACTCACCGTTCTGCTCTTTCTGTACGACCCACTGTTCGTAGTTTTGTGTGCCGGGCTCACAGAGGAGCTTCAGGTCTGCGTGTTTGTGGATTTTATCCATTATCTTCTTGATCACGTCTCCAAACGGGTCCTTTAACATGCCATAGACACAGAAGGTTTTTATTGTCACATTTTGAAATTATCCACATCTAAATTGAATATACCAGCATCATAACTGAAGAGTATGTATGCTTTCCTGCATTAAGGCAAGAACTTTAAGTCTTTAAGATTTTGTATTGTTATTGTTTATACAGATTTTTCTAGAAATATTTAAACAAGTATTACATATGAAGTGTGTCATTTCTGCGCTACTATAGTGGCACCAAAAAGAATAGCAAAAATCATGACTGTTTTCAAAAAAGTTTAAGATCAATTTCAAGAAGAATGTTCTTAAGTGCAAATCTTAAGAACACTCTTATTTTCTTAAGAATGTCTTTTTATTTTTTTCTTGAGAAGAGAATGGCAGGCTTTGGTGTTATCTGATTGTATTGCGGTTCTTCACAAAGACTGGCTGATCAACTCACACATAGCATTTTCATTTTTAATGCATTGTCTTGATAGTTATTTTTAAAGAATTGTCTGTTGCATTCACTTGCGCTCCATCTTTCTTGCACTGTGTATGGCTGCTTTCATATGTGCTGAATGCTGCCGAAAGTTAAGTCATAATTATATGACTTAAAAAAAAACATGGTCCCAATTTGACTAGTCAGTGAGTTGTTATATAATGCTAACTTCAAATTCACCAAAAAGTCACATAATCATCATAACTTGATCATCGTTTACATTATTTATCATTACTCATGCACATCCCTATATGATATGTATTATATGTAGCTAATGCAATGCTGTAATGCTTAATTACAACAGTTAATTTTAAACAAACCAATAAATTAATTAAACATGTTACTTTTGGGGCAAGTTGTAGGTTATCCAAACTTTAGAAGGTTATTTACAATTATTGAAAAAAAAAAAATCTTAAGAACGGTTCCCAACAATTCTTCTTAAGAAAACAGAAAATAGCAGATTCATTTTTGTTTTGTTTTGTTTATTCTTAAGAATGTTTTGTGAATCCATGGTCGGAAAAATACATTTCTTAACCTAAATTCCAAGAAGTTTTTAAGAATGTTCCTAAGTGCAATTCTCAAAAAACTCTTAAGATGTACTCAAATATTTTCTTTAAAAAAAAAATCTTAAAATTTTTCCTTTTTCTGACAGGCTTTGGTGTTTGTATGACTGTTCTTTTAGAAGACTCGCTGATGAACAATTCATTTGAAACAACCCACCTTACCTTTGGGGATTTAAGACATGCTGGGGTTTTCCTATCTTTAAGAAATTATTTACGATGATATTAAAGAAGATTCTTTTAAAATGTTGAACTTTTCCACTTCAACCCGAATATTCAGATGTGTGCAGCGCATTTTATGGAGGATGAGGACTGTTTCCTGAACCAGTAGCCTACAATGCGTCTGTGGCACAAAGGCTGTTTCTATAAAGTTGGGCAGTTCCAACTTTGCAAGAACAGTCTAGCGCTTCTGACTCACAGCCTGTAAGTACGTTTTTTATATTTAAATAATTTGCCAATGATGATTCAAACGCTGAGTTTTGAGCAGTGTAGAGTAGTGCTTGTTGTTTGGTTGTTTCTCCGATCACAAATGCAGACATGGTTTTATGTTTACGCAGCGTGATACGCAACGCTTAAAAAAACAGTATAAGTCATTATAATCAGTAATTATGTCCCCACTGGATGCAACAAATGCCTCGTTTATAATGGGTTTTATTGGTTTTGTCTCGTCCTGCTGGGAGACGGCATCACAGTATGCTAAGGGGCATAACATTTCCGTCACACGCTTGAGCATTCGGCCAATCACAACGCACTGGATAGCTGGCCAATCAGAGCACACCTCGCTTTTTTAGAACGATGAGCTTTGTAAAAATCGACATGTTTCAGAAAGGCGAGGAGAAACAATAATGTACATTATATGGAAAATAATGTTTTTTTTTAACCTTAAACCACATAAACACATTGCATTACACCAAATACACCAAATAATGTTCTTTTTAGCAACATCATATGACCCCTTTAACCCTATTTTCTAGTACTGAGAATCCAACGCAAAAGAGTTTCTCTTGGCGCTTTGGTGCTGTTGTCATAAAGATTCATGGTAAAGCAGGCCAGCAGAGTAATAATGTGATGCAGGGTCCTGACTGGAGAAGCATGAAAGGCATGCGGAGGTTTATGGCTGCCTCCAGCACAGGGGTTGCGTGGAACATTGGAAACAGCTTTGCGGTGGAGAAAACAGTAAGATATGTGGGAGAGGAGGGTGTGTGTGTGTGTGTGTATGTGTGTGTGGAAACGTCAGATTAGAGAAAAACGCTTAGGAAGATTTGTTTTTTTGATTTGAGAAAGGAAAATATATATATATATTTTTTTAGTAAAGCAGAATCTAGAATGTTTTGAAAACGTGTGTGCATTCACTAACATATGGATTTGCTCAGCTTTGTTCTCATAGCATGTAACATGCACATTGCTGGTAGGCATGGGAATTGTAAAGACTTTAACAATTTGCTTCCACTTAATGTTTCCAGTTCCTTTCCAATTCCATTCAAGAACTAAAGGCTGGAATACACTACATGACTTTTGAGATCTGAACAGTTTTTAAAACGCTAGACATCATATACTTACTGACTTTGTAAATAGTCACAGAGGAAAAATTGGCTATCTTACATTAAATGACTGAGGATCACAAATTACCAGACTTTCAAGTCGTTCCCATCACAACAAAATCGCGCAGAAATATGTGTCTTGTTGCTTGGAGACACATGACAATTGAAAACAATGTATGTTCTGAAACCGGCTGAAAATGTGAAATGTGTTTGATATCCTCTGACTGGATAGAATCAGAGTCTGAAGCTTATAAATCAGGAGTCTGATCATCATAGACTACACGATTTTCTATGAAATCGGTCAACTCAAATCTGCAGACTTGATCTGACTTTGGGTAACTAGCGCCAACCTCTCCAGACTGTAAGTTGGAGCCAAAAGTCGTGCAATGTATTCCAGCCTTTAGGTTCTTGTAGTACTTTTAAGGAATGTACGAACTACACTATAACAATACTTGTACAGTATTTAGTTATGTCATGACAACTCTCGGAGGGACTGGCATGGTAATGTACATGACGATGTTAATGTATTTGGTCTTGGCGGAATAGATCTGCTACACTGCTGCTGCTGCGGCAGAGCAAGTACCGAGACTTGCTACTGCCAATACATCCACAACATTCTGCTGTGAGCATGTAAGAAATATTGCTGCTGCAAATATAACATACATGAAATAACCCCGTAGCAGATCTATACAGGTGGAGCTGGGGAAGGTGGAGGGTTTCTGAAGCAAGCTGCAACTGCTACGGCAAGCACTAATCATATATTTGAATGTTGAGCAGCGAGCTTATTGGCTACCGATACAGGAGAGAACCAATCAGCTGTGCCATTTGATAATGATGTTATTATGTCAGATTGAGTTAGACCTATCGGACTGCGCCATCTAGAGTTTCATGCCAGAACCTGTGTGTTTCGTTGTGAAAGCGAAACTACTTTGTTTGGTCTTCCAAAAGAGGACACAACTAGAAATCAGTGGTTAAGTTGTATTTAAAAACACTGTTCCAGAACACTTCAACCCGAATATTCAGATGTGTGCAGCGCATTTTATGGAGGATGAGGACTGTTTCCTGAACCAGTAGCCTACAATGCGTCTGTGGCACAAAGGCTGTTTCTATAAAGTTGGGCAGTTCCAACTTTGCAAGAACAGTCTAGCGCTTCTGACTCACAGCCTGTAAGTACGTTTTTTATATTTAAATAATTTGCCAATGATGATTCAAACGCTGAGTTTTGAGCAGTGTAGAGTAGTGCTTGTTGTTTGGTTGTTTCTCCGATCACAAATGCAGACATGGTTTTATGTTTACGCAGCGTGATACGCAACGCTTAAAAAAACAGTATAAGTCATTATAATCAGTAATTATGTCCCCACTGGATGCAACAAATGCCTCGTTTATAATGGGTTTTATTGGTTTTGTCTCGTCCTGCTGGGAGACGGCATCACAGTATGCTAAGGGGCATAACATTTCCGTCACACGCTTGAGCATTCGGCCAATCACAACGCACTGGATAGCTGGCCAATCAGAGCACACCTCGCTTTTTTAGAACGATGAGCTTTGTAAAAATCGACATGTTTCAGAAAGGCGAGGAGAAACAATAATGTACATTATATGGAAAATAATGTTTTTTTTTAACCTTAAACCACATAAACACATTGCATTACACCAAATACACCAAATAATGTTCTTTTTAGCAACATCATATGACCCCTTTAACCCTATTTTCTAGTACTGAGAATCCAACGCAAAAGAGTTTCTCTTGGCGCTTTGGTGCTGTTGTCATAAAGATTCATGGTAAAGCAGGCCAGCAGAGTAATAATGTGATGCAGGGTCCTGACTGGAGAAGCATGAAAGGCATGCGGAGGTTTATGGCTGCCTCCAGCACAGGGGTTGCGTGGAACATTGGAAACAGCTTTGCGGTGGAGAAAACAGTAAGATATGTGGGAGAGGAGGGTGTGTGTGTGTGTGTGTATGTGTGTGTGGAAACGTCAGATTAGAGAAAAACGCTTAGGAAGATTTGTTTTTTTGATTTGAGAAAGGAAAATATATATATATATTTTTTTAGTAAAGCAGAATCTAGAATGTTTTGAAAACGTGTGTGCATTCACTAACATATGGATTTGCTCAGCTTTGTTCTCATAGCATGTAACATGCACATTGCTGGTAGGCATGGGAATTGTAAAGACTTTAACAATTTGCTTCCACTTAATGTTTCCAGTTCCTTTCCAATTCCATTCAAGAACTAAAGGCTGGAATACACTACATGACTTTTGAGATCTGAACAGTTTTTAAAACGCTAGACATCATATACTTACTGACTTTGTAAATAGTCACAGAGGAAAAATTGGCTATCTTACATTAAATGACTGAGGATCACAAATTACCAGACTTTCAAGTCGTTCCCATCACAACAAAATCGCGCAGAAATATGTGTCTTGTTGCTTGGAGACACATGACAATTGAAAACAATGTATGTTCTGAAACCGGCTGAAAATGTGAAATGTGTTTGATATCCTCTGACTGGATAGAATCAGAGTCTGAAGCTTATAAATCAGGAGTCTGATCATCATAGACTACACGATTTTCTATGAAATCGGTCAACTCAAATCTGCAGACTTGATCTGACTTTGGGTAACTAGCGCCAACCTCTCCAGACTGTAAGTTGGAGCCAAAAGTCGTGCAATGTATTCCAGCCTTTAGGTTCTTGTAGTACTTTTAAGGAATGTACGAACTACACTATAACAATACTTGTACAGTATTTAGTTATGTCATGACAACTCTCGGAGGGACTGGCATGGTAATGTACATGACGATGTTAATGTATTTGGTCTTGGCGGAATAGATCTGCTACACTGCTGCTGCTGCGGCAGAGCAAGTACCGAGACTTGCTACTGCCAATACATCCACAACATTCTGCTGTGAGCATGTAAGAAATATTGCTGCTGCAAATATAACATACATGAAATAACCCCGTAGCAGATCTATACAGGTGGAGCTGGGGAAGGTGGAGGGTTTCTGAAGCAAGCTGCAACTGCTACGGCAAGCACTAATCATATATTTGAATGTTGAGCAGCGAGCTTATTGGCTACCGATACAGGAGAGAACCAATCAGCTGTGCCATTTGATAATGATGTTATTATGTCAGATTGAGTTAGACCTATCGGACTGCGCCATCTAGAGTTTCATGCCAGAACTCTGTATTTATCTTAATGTTAATTTCAACATTTACTAGTACTTGAGTTAATGCACTGTGAACTAACATGAATATTGTATTAACTAACATTAACAAAGGTTAATGCTGTCAAAATATATTGTTCATTGTTAGTTCATGTTAGTTAATGCATTAACTAATGTTAATAATTGAGACGTTTTTGTCATTTAAAAAAAAAAAAGTTTTTCAAAGAAGTCTCTTTTGCTCACCAAGGCTGCATTTATTTGACAGTAAAAACAGTAATATTATGAAATATTATTGTAATTTAACATAACTGTTTTCTATTGGAATATATTATAAATTTAAATTATTCATGAGATGAAATGCTGAATTTACAGCATCATTACTCCAGTCTTCAATATCACATGATCCTTCAGAAATCATTCTAATATTATTATCAATGTTGAAAACTGCTTCATATTTTTTGTGGAAACTGTGATACATTTTTTCCAGGATGAATATAAAGTTCAAAGCATTTATTTGGAACAGAAATATTTTTTAATATTATAAATGACTTTACTCTCACTTTTGACTAATCCTTGCTGACTAAAACAGTTCATTTCTTTCTTTTGTGCAATAGAAAGTCAAGTCTGCTTTATTGTCAATTCTTCCACATGTACAGCACATACACACAGAGAATTGAAATTGCGTTACTCTCAGACCCTTGGTGCATACAGATAACATAAATACAGATAGGTACAGATTAAATACAAAATACAAAATACAGCTATACAAATATACAAATAAGGTAAAGTGTAAAAAAAAAATATATATATATAAAGCACAAGGCATATGGCAGATAGAGTGCAAACCAGTAAAGTAAACAACAGTGCAAATATAATGATTGTCGTGCAAACAAATGATTTGTAGTGCAAAAGAGATTATTCAGACTGATTAAAGTGACAGTGTGTGTGTGTATTAGGGAGGGGGGAAGTGGGAGAGTCCATCAGAGGGTCAGAGTTCAGTGGTGCGTGGGGCAAAAGAGGGGAGGGGGGGCAAGGTCGGGAGGGAGTTCAGCTTCCTGACAGCCTGATGGATGAAGCTGTCCTTCAGTCTGCTGGTCCTGGCCTCTCCTCCCTGATGGCAGCAGACTGAAGAAGCTGTGTGTCGGGTGGGTGGGATCGCCTGCGATGCAGGGGGCTTTGCGGGTGAGACGGGTGTTGTAAATGTCCTGAAAGGAGGGGAGAGAGGCACCAACGATCTTCTCAGCTGCTCTCACTATGCGTTGAAGTGTCTTGCGGCAGGACGCGTTGCAGGCGCCATACCACACAGTGATGCAGCTGGTCAGGATGCTCTCGATGGTGCCTCTGTAGAAGGTGCATATGATGGGGGCCGGGGCTCTGGCTCTTCTCAGTTTGCGGAGGAAGTAGAGACGCTGCTGTGCTTTCTTGGCCAGTGCTGCGGTGTTGTCAACTTCCTGTGTTGAGGAAAAATGGAAACATGGAAGTATGTGTCCTTCAGATCTATCGTGACAAACCAGTCCTCGGAAAATCCCATTGTTTTTGCCTTTTTATGTCTATTCAGGTAAATTTATTTTTTTTAGAAAAACTGAGTCTTGGGGGATTACAAATTTAAGAATCTGTTTAAGATCTGCTGATTCTACATCCTGACATTACATCATATGAAAAACTAAGGTGATCTACATTGTATTGGGCATTCAAGGTGAACATGATGGCATCAGTTTACTGATTAAATTCAATATAGTTTCCTGTGAGGGGGTTCTGCAGGTCTCTAATCTTCATACTGAGAGTTAACTACATGTGAATGTTTACACATCTTTAGTTCTCGTGGCCAGGTGCAGCTCAAACCATTTGGGGACTGTTATCTTTGGGGAGTAGGTTTGCTGAAGCTCACAGTCGGGGGTTGATTTCCTGTATTGTCTTTAGATGTTTTGTTTAAGTGGTCACTTCTGAGGCTAGGTGTTAAGTCGACACCTTTAAGAACTGCCCACTGAATGCCTATAAAATACAATGTATGCCTGGCTTAGTCAGACTTTTGATGACTGCAGCGCCACGCAGCGCATTCTCAATAAAGAGTCCTGCTGAAGATAACCAAGAGTCTCCTGGTCTTCACTTCTGAGTTTCCAACAGTGTCCTCTACAGAAGCACAACATACGAATAAAATATAATTTTTCAAAAATGTTATTTTTTCAATTATTTCTTATGCTCTAAACAATGTAATGATATAAAATCGTATTTTTATAATGATATAAAAAATACTAAATTCATATGCACTAAATATATATACACACACATTGAATATGCATATAAGTCAAGTCAGAAAGTCCACTTTATTTCTAAAGCGCTTTATACAATATAGTTTGTTTCACAGAAGCTTCACAAGAGTGTTAAATTCAAATTCTGCTGTAAAGCAGCTCTAACAAGTCATAATAACTGTGTAAATTCATCAGTTGTACATGCATACTGTATATGTGAATATGCATGTGTGTGAGTGCTGTGACAAACTCCTGTGCCCCACTGCACTCTGAACAAGCAGATCACTCAGAAGAGAGAGTTTTACATTCTTCACATATGTGTGTAGTTTGATGTGTGTATGTGGCTAATTACTTTATGTTTGTGTAGAGTTACTAGGCAAAATATAATTTTTAGAAGAGTTAAAATAGTTTTGAAAGAAGTGTTTGCTTTTGCATGTTGTGAGTGTGTTTTGTGGTTTTGTGTGTAGAGTTTTGAGAAATGGAGCCATAGTTTCAAAAACTGTAAGCATTTTTAAAAAACTGTAAAGTAAAGATCAGCATAATTTAGCAGATATACAGACAGTTGAGCTACTTTTTTAAAAATGCCTTAGTGTGTTTGCTATGAATACATGAATACAAACGTCTCGGGTTACAAGTCAAGTCAAGTCAAGTCTGCTTTACTGTCAATTCTTCCACATGATACATACAGACATACAGATAATTGAAATTGCGTTACTCTCAGTAAAGCCATTTTACTCTTGGAGGTCTGTGGAGTTATTGTATGTGGCAGCCTGCTTAAACATATTCCAGTCTGTGTTGTAAGCTCCTCTCTGGGTGGTGTAAACAAAGTCCAGA